ATATATATATATATATATATATATTGTCTGGTTACACGAACGGCTGACAGTTCAAGACATCGTGTTCACTACTCAGCCTAGTAAATCTGATGTAACTTCACTACGGAAGGTTCAAAGCTATAAGCTATCTATCCCGATGCAATACTATTCGTGGAAACTCTAGAGAGAATCGCAGCCCTCGTTTTTATTCATGTGGGGGATTGTTGGGAAAATTAGTTAAAAGTTGAGTCGTGAACAACTTTTGATCACTATTAATGTATGGTTTATTTAATTATTTAAATCAATATTTTGATTAGATTAATATATAAACAAACCAATTTGTGGTGAATGGAAATTACTAGTCCAAAATATGTTGAAACAAGGAAAGTGGGATTTTGAGTTATCCCACATTGGAAAAGTAGTGAACTATTGAGCTATTTATATATCTCAATGTTGGACCTAAGGGTCAAGCCCTTTGGGCATATAACTTTGTTTGGGAGAACGGCCTATATGTTATGAGTTTCGAATCTTGATGTGCCCGCGCAGTCTAGCCTGCTGGGCTTGTTTGTTCGGATTGGATTTGGATTTGGCTTGGGCTCAAATGACTATATTATTTTTTTTGGGTCAGAAAAATTAGAACATGGGCCGTCAATCCGTTGGACTCTCCCTACCCGAAGCCCATCTCGAATGGTCTGGCTGTTTTGAATTGTTGCGGCCGAACCAATGCAAACCAATCGGCTAACCTCGAAATGGTACAACCAATTCGGCCCCAACGGCTCCTTAGCCGAAACAGCACAAGTCTAGGGCGAACCGGTGGGTTTACATACCTTTTTCTCCAAAGGAACACTACTTTTCAAATCTTATAAATAGACCCCGTTTTTCCCATAATTCCTCACTTCAATCCAACAAGCTTTCTGCATTTCTAGCCTACTCATTACAGATTCTCTCGAAAAGTTCTACACAAAGTACCGTTCGCCGTGCTTGGGATTTGGAGTGCTCCTATTCCAAGTCTTTGCCGTTGTATCTTGTGAGACGATTTTCGTTCAAACCGTTAGCACCGTTGCGGGGAAATTTCGTCTTAAGGACAGAGACAACTCACCTCGGCAAGATTCATTTCAAGCAGATTTCCAACAATGTTTTGCACTGACTTGGTAGGGTTTGATTGTACTGTGATAGCTTGGTCTAATATTTTTGTGAAATATTTGGATGTACAAGATTGAGTCGGGATTCGTTTCCATTGATTTTAGTTAGATATAGCATGTTGGTGTGGAATACGTTTCAAATGTACTATGTTAATTATTTGTTTTAGACAACTGTTGAGTGAAGTCGGTCCAATGATTTTTTTCCAATATCTTAAATCATATTACTTTTATATTTTTCAATTTGTTTATAGTGTTTTGTTAAATGACATTTTATTGTTAATGTTGACATCCGTGCATCGCACTGATGAGATACTAGTTATCCATGTTTTCAAAGGAGACTTCTAATTATAAGATCGTAACGATTTTTCTAATACCTTATAATTTGCGAATATTATAAAATGGTTAAATATATAATATCATAAATATTCACCACCCTCTTATATTCGCTTAATCCTCCTACGTTCTAAGTTTTTTTTTTTACAATGGAACATAAAAAGGTAAATTAAGATTCTAACAAGTAATAATCATCCAAATTTGAATCAGTTTTTGGGCCGATTGTGAGGAAAGAAAAGTAACTCATGTTTCAAATCTTAATCTACGGAAAACAACAATATAATATTTTGGGGTTTTTTTTTTTGTTTCGACACAAGCGCTCTTAATTTATTTCTTTAAGGACGTGAATTACTGTTCTTTTTTACCTTCCAGTGTTTTTCTCTGACGAAAGTATCGTTCACTTATGG